TTCAAATAATCTTTTATCCATGTTTTAATTGACCGAAGGTAACAATTTTTCAATTAATTGAAAACTTTTTCATTCATTTTTTTTTCTGCCATAAAACTGCTTTGTAAAATTCGTTTATAACTTACTCTGTCTATTGTAACTCCAATAATGCTACTAATCCATGTCTCGATTATTGATTAAATTTTACATTCATTTGTTTCATTATTTAACCCAATCAATAAGATCATTTTTTTTGTAACTACCTCTTTTAAACATAAAATAGTTTTAATCATCATTATATATTAAAGCATTATTTACTCCAAAATAAAATTGATCAACAACGTGATTAATTATTAGCTGAATGTTTAGATTTATTCGAATGATATAAACCTAAATGATGTTAACCCGTGCTGAGGGCATTTAGCTACCGTATTGGAACCGCGAAGTAGCAGATTATAGAGATGAGAAATCTGTAGATCTTCGTGCGCGGCTCGTTTCCTATGGCAGATAACCCGCTGTGAGTTTTCCCAAACCTGTCAAGCACTCGCTACCGAAATGTTTAGCGGCTACCAGTGTAAAGGAATACAATACGACTCGGGAAAGGTCTGAATAGACGAGAGAAACATTGCCACCTGGTGTGAGGAGATTCCTCGATGGATTCGCTTTATTACAGTTCATAATATGAACCGGACAATCCGGTAAACAGTAGCGGGTGGTAATCTTACCAATTCTTCCAGCAAAGTTTTTTTTTTTACCCATAGACACATTTACCGACGACGGTTTCGCACCTCCTAAGTGTGTATGAGACGAAGGAGAACCAGAAAGAATAGAAGAGACGAACCGGTAGAAAATTGGAGTGGATTTTATTTGCTTGAATGCTACAGACCCCAACGAAATTAGACTTATCTGGTCGAACTGATCACAACTTCACTGTTGCAGCTGCGACATATTTCTATCTTTATTACTTACATGTACCCCACTATGTCTCAATACACCACTCAAACCACCGACTACGATAAACTAATTCTCTTTTTTTTTATTGTCCTCGGATTTGCAAACAGTTTTGAGTTTCTTCAAGCGTACATATAGGACTGCTCTTTTCTCGTTGAAACTCTCAATCTTGGTATTGTTGACCAACCGATACGTCCACTCGACCACACAATAGACATCCAAGAGTCGGACCTCAGCAAATCTACTTTTTGGATCAACGAAAATCGAGCTGAAATTACCCGACTACTCAACCTTTCAATAGGAACAGAACAGTAGCACATATCTTGAGATTTGTTTCCTATTGAAAGCTGTAAACTACTTTTACATTTATTGTTGTTGTACTTAAAGAGATAACTCTTTTATTGGAAATTTGACCCATCAGGATTTATTTTAGATCATGATATTGAGAAAATATTTATGAAAAGAATTAGATCAATGTATCTAGATTCAATTGATTTAGATAAATGTTTTATATGATATTCAATAATTCATGTAATAGAGAGAATTATTGATTGATTATTACTTGTAATTGCTGTCAATTTATCAAGTGAATTGATACAAGTTGATGTATGATTAAATATTGTTTATTTAAATATATATTTAATACTGACACTTTGTGATATATTACTACATTTTCAAAATTCATGATTAAACATTTTGTTAATCTTTTACCACAACATTAATCATTAATTTATTTCATTAAGTTAAATTTTTTGATTAAAAATTCGAAAGATTTTAATACTTTATTTATTTCTATGAAATCAGTCTCTTAGGATTTTAATTAAATGGTTATTAAACATAATATTTACTGTAATAAAATGATGAATAATTATAGAATAGAAAATAATGAGTCTACATTAATTAAGTATGATAATCATAATGATTTAATTAATTCTTCATACACATATTAAATATTGATTGATTTAAAAGTCTTTTAGGAAAATTCTTTATCATGTTTTTAATCAATGTCTAACTCTGAATTCATTAAACTTAATGGATTTTAAACCTGCATAAAATATACTCAATTATTTTTTTTTTTTTGAATGCAAAAAAAGAATAATGGAGATTAAAAAGGCTTTAATGAATATAAATGATGAACATATAGTATTTCATATATTTGTTGTGCCTAAAAGAATAAAGAAGTTATTGTAGAAACTCAATAAAATTCTTTTATCCGAGAGTCCAACAAATAAATCTCGAAGAAAAAATCTCGCTCGTGTCGAGGAGAAAAGTGTTTTTTTTTTTTTAAGAGAGAAGGTATGTGTACGTTCCCCATGCATGAATCAGATCGGAAGTAGCATTTAACCGGATCCCATTTAGTGTGATAAAAATCTCAAGGGGAAACTATGAAATGTGAAGACTGCAACTAACAAGTAACTTGCAATCTTACTTTTTTTTTACCTGAAGATGCTTAAGTACTCGTCACTCCTCTTTTTTATCATCTTTATCTTCGTTTAGTAAAAGTGGCTGTAGTTTTAACAGTCTAATTGTCGATCGGACGATCCTTCAGATAAATATCCTACCCAAGTTGATGGCGTCTAATAGTACATTCTTAGCTGAAAACTAGACTTACAAGACTTTAACGCAACCTTTTTAAAATTTAACGCAACACTCCAGGTATAAGTATTACGTGGCACATACTTAAGTTAAAGATGCTCTGATTTTAAAGGTGCTCTTTCTTGTTAGTCCGTCAGCTTAAACAAAATATGGACTATAGATAAAAATATTATAGGTAGTCAAAGAAGAATAACGAGGTTCCGACACATGAGTGTGCAAATTTTCCTAGTTAAATAGCAGAGATCTGGAGTGATGATCAAAAAACACTAGGATTACGTACTTTAGTAATCAGTTGTGAAGTCATAAATGTATATTTTGGAGTTAATAAGAACAGAAGCAGATGCTTGATAAACTTGATAACATGACTAACAAGAGTAAAGATTTGTGTAAGACTTTGAAATTTTCTTGCGATTGTATCACACTTTATTGCTGAGTTTCGAGAGTCTGAAAGAGAATGGAGCAGTAATAAACTACTGATAAAGTCAGTTTTATGAAGGCTTTAAAAGATTTTTCAAAAGTGCTGTTTAATACTTAATAAGATATTTTTGCAGAAAAACAAATGTTGCATAATCATAAGCAATAATAACTGGAGATTCAATTTTTTTAGAGCAGTAAATTTTTTATGTTTATTTAAAATATCGTTAAATAAAAAAGTTTAGAGTAGGAAAATAAGAAGTTTCGCAATTGTAATCTTAATTTTTATTATAACGAGAATTTCTTTAAAAATAATTACAATTTTATTGAATTAATAATTGTAGTAATTTTTTTTTAAAATATATTACTCTGAAAAGAAAAAACAAATGGTATACTAAAATTTGAATGTAGTAATTGACAGATAAAAAATAAAATTGTTTCTCCAATCATCACATTATCTTTTTTTCTATAGAAAAATTAATGGAAAGCAAAAATACATATCAACAAAAAAAAAAGTCATTTTATTATTCATAAAAATGGATGAAAACTCTATAAAATAACCAGTTCTCTAGTGGCCCTTGAAATGAAGAAATAAAAAAATTAAAAAACTAACAAGTTTTGAATAAACGTTTTATTGAAATTTAAAAAAAAAAGTGGACTTTGTTTAAATAAAAGTATGAATGAATATTTCAATTGAATTTTTATTGTTACAAAAATGTATTAAAGTAAAATGATTACAATAGTTAACTGCGAAAAATTGTTTTCTAAATGCATCAGAGAAAAAGTCAAAAGAATAGAGAGTAAGAGAAAACGAAATTGTCGAATTCATTTGACAAAGGTATAATTTGCTAGGATATGGCTGGGATCGATTTTGAGTAGCCACTGTTTCGTTACAGGCGGATATCTTTTGTGGCAACCCTGTGGGCGTACACTTCCCCCTAGGCTAAAACGCCAACTGGTAACGGTGATACATGAAAATTGTTACAGCAGCAGCAGCAGCAATGGAGTAGTGCACGAGAGAAAAGAGATCGAGGGAGAAAAAGGGAATGAGAAAGTACCGCAATTCGTTTTTGGTTTATGTATATACTTTTCCAATATAATAAAATACCCAAAGAGAATGCAGAGGAGAAAGAAAACAAAACCAATTCTATCTACATCGCTACCATTTGCCAAATCAACTACCGGATGTGGTTTCCTGCTTTCAGTATATATTGTGATGATGATACAAATCAAATTGAAGATACAATCTCCAATAATGATTGTGGTAAAAAAGAATACCGTAGAATATATAATAATAAAGCACTTGACATTATTCTAGATGTTAAATTATTATATTCATTTAAGTTGATGATGTGATAAGTAAATAAAGTGGAAAGCTGAAAACTGCGTTGATCAGCAAGGAAACAACAGCAGTATAACGACACACAAGCGGTAAACTTCACCTCGTTTCTGGCAATTACAGGGGATGCCAGAATCCGCCACAAGAATCAACCCACACCGTGGTGAAGCTTCAGCCTGAGGCATGTGCGCGCTTCTTCCTCCCCATAGCTCCTGGCATTTCCTTCTTCTTCGTCTCCTCTTCATTCAAGCCCCACATTCTGTTCTCCTTATTCCACTTGGCACACACTAATGCGGTATCACAGAAGCCCAAACACCCGGACAACTTTGACTCCGTCGCGCTCGTTCACACATGCTTGCCCATGTTATCGCACCCTCTCGCACCGCGAAATTAACCCCTCCCAGTCTAGAGAGACTAGAGAGTCAAGGGTCTATTGGAGCAAGAGAGATACTTACACTTTGGGGTGATAAAAAGAGATAGAAATATCCAGACACTCCCTCCAACACTCTAGAATTGAGCACCACTGCCTCGCCATGTTCCTGAAGAAATTACGCCATTGGTTGTCAGTTAATTCCATGCCATCATGATTGGCTACATCAAGGTACGCCTACTAGTAGTCAACTCCAGTTCTGCCTTTCTCATTTTCCCTCTCTTTTTCAACTCACACGACCAGTACCTCGCATACTCTTAGTTTCCCCCGTGAAACCTCGACCATCAGCCGGCTAGTAGTAGCTCGTACGACCTACAGATCACCACGAAACCGATCTGAGCATTTTTCCACTCCAACTTGACGTGTTTATTGTTACAATAAACTGTTTACTATCACGATTTGTTGGATTATCATCTGAACAACATCATTATTATTGTTTTATCAACACGGTCATCTACAGTAGTAAATTAATTAGAAAATTATGTGAAATTAATTTAATTATTGCGTTTAACTTATTGGTAATTAGCTTAGTAATTAACTCAATACCACAAGTGTGATAAGAAAGCAATGAAGAAGACAATTATGCAAAGACATTAATCATTTTTAAAAAAAAAAACTTGACGTTTGTGATGTGTTTATCTTTCTCATTATGGTTTCAACGGTGTATTTACATTATCAGTTTTGATTAATATTTAAATATAAGCTGCATTACTTAAAGTGTCAAATAAAAAATATATATAAATATATCAATTAGACAATAAAAAGTGGCTCCATGCAATCAAAGTGATTATTATTTGGAGAAGATTATTGCGATGGAGTCACAACCACTTTTAGAAACATCATCGCAAAGTAGCGAAGAGATGGTTCTGCCAAAACCAACTAGCAGCATTCCAAGACATAGCATCGATTATATTTTACAACGTGCTGGACAAAAGAGAACACATCAAGAGAGTGAGGAAACAACGAGGGACACACAAGAGAGTACTGGTAGCAATTATTATTCCATTAATTAGATTAATTAGTCTAAGAAAAAAAAAACATAAATAAATAATAATTTCAAGTAAAAACTTGATCAATAATTATTTATAAATGACAGTATCTCACTAAAGTCATGATAATAATCGGCTTAGTTAATAATAAAATAAGAATAAATGAATAATTTATGAATCATGTCTATGTTTAATATATATAAAATCGTGATGATTGCATGAGAAAATAAATTTCGAGGGCAAAATGAGTAGGTAAAATGTCGTAGGTAGAGTGCACACAAGAATGATTGTGAATTCGCTTGGTTAAGTCAGTGCATAACATTACAATACACGACATGGGGAGCAAATAAGCGTCCGACGGCGACTAAAACGTACGGTCCGCACAACCCTCTCGCGATATACACGCTCAACTCTTGCTAACCCATACCCAAAAGTAGGGGCGCACGACGCAATTAATCACGACGATAATCAGAATTAGGAGTCCAACCGCAAGTTTAGATTGCTCTGTGCGGTGAGTTGAGCCTGAAACAATTGGACAACCGCTCAGCAAGCTTTGTTGTTAAATAATTTATATATTTAATTAGGTTAAAACTTCAAGACTATTCATTTTTCAACAATTCTTAATGTGATATCCCATCAGCAAGAATTTAATCAACACATTAATCTGTTCATCAAACAACAAGGAAATGTTTTCAAGTCAATCATCATTTTTCTTTTCATTTTTTTCTATTTTTAATACTCATTTTTGAGAATGAATATTTGAAGGATTTATATTAAAAGAAAAAGATCATTAATTACTGCTGTTTTGAATAAAAATTAGAGATGAATTTAATGTGAGTTCTTTAAATGGTAAATTAGATTCATTAGCAATTTAAATGTTATAATAAAACAGAACTATTATGAATGAAGTTTATTGATTTTGAGATAATTCAAAAATTGTAGTTGTTTATTTAAATAGATTTAATAGTTTGATAAATACAAAAATTACAGCGTGAAGAAAATAATTATGCAATTATACCGAGAAATAATAATTGAAATAATTTTTTCTATTTAAAAATACAGTAAATGATTGTTGAACTTTATAACATCAATTAGAATTTAATAATAATAATTTTTAATAATTAAAAAAGTCAAAGGAAATTAAAGTAAGTAATTATTAAGTCATTAAATAATTCTTCAGTCAAACATAAAGATTAATTTTAAATTGAAAATAATTATTTTATCTTTATTCATATTAGAACAACAAAAAGGAATTGTTTTTTTTCGTTTTAGGGTTTTTTATAACGACTTTTGTTGTCTGTCTATAATTATAGGTTTGATAAATTCGAAGATTTGAAAGGAAAAAAAAAAAATAGATCGATAAGAAATATCACATAGAAGGGAAACGATGAAACTTACAATGCGGGACACGTGACGTAAAGTTGCACACACGAGGCAATGTCAGCGTATAATTGGAAAATCGTTACTATCGCGGTGATCTTGTGAAACCCGCGCCTGTTGCCACGACTAATTTGTCGTTGAGACTACTGCAAGTAAAACGATACCTTCGACAAATGAATTGTCTACGAGCTACAAGAATAATTATGATCATTATTTCATTATTATTATGCAAATATACATAATGTGTATAGATACAGATGTACATGATGATGAACATAAAGATGTGAAGCATAAAAAAAAAGAAAAATAGAAGAATCATACAGAAAAAGCTGCGAACGATACAAATGTATATACATTATCATTATTTTTACGACAATGATATATACATTAAAATATTCAAATAATTCTTGTTTTATTCCGACATTAATATTCCATTAAAGAAGTGCGCGATTAAACGAGTAAATTGAATGAAAAAAAAAATTCGCATAACCAAGAACTCAATCTTGTTTCACTAATCGAATTATCATTAATTATGATACCGCGCACGAGAATAAAAGAGAAGCTAAAGCCCGTATATATACGAGCTACTCGCTAATAAGGAGAAGAAAAAAAAAACCATGACAGAAGTAAAATGAGAGAGAAAAAAAGTCGAAAGAAAAGAGACAAGACCGCACTTTGAGAGTTGAATTGACGTGTCTACTAATGGATCGTGGTCTTCCCCATATCTCCCTCATTTGGTTTCTCTCTCTACATCATCATCCTCACTTAGCTCTCCTTTTTTCTGTTGACCTGTATAATCTTAAAACGACGCAGCGTCGCTTAGCTCGATAAGTCTTTTAGGATAGGAGAGAATTATTGGTAGCAAGAAACATTCAAGGAATTTAAGAGAAAAACAAGAGGAAAAAATTTAAGTGAGTTGGTAATTAGTTTTACGATATGGCAAACAAAGCAAAATAATACATAATTAAGACAGAGAACGAGAATATTGATGTTGAAGGTGGGGATAATGTCTGTATTGCGGATGATGATTCTTAGTTTATATTATGCTGAAGAAACGCAAGTTTCATAAGATTAGCGAGGGTTGAACTGTGAGTAATAAGTGGTAAAAATACAGAGAAGCCTCATAAAACTCTTTGTTACGGATAATTCTGATCGCGTGACAGTGCCACAGGGCCACAGAGCAATTACGTGTAATTTCATACCCGTTTATATAGCGAATACCTTGTTTTTCGGCCATAAGTCACACTCCCAGTGGAAGCACCTTTGATGGTAGGAGTAAAAAACAAACGTTCAAATAAAACCAATGAAACCAACTCACTGGCAAACTGGTTGGCTGCCAGACTGCCAACGTGTTCAACGACTTATAACACGATCAAACTTATTGAAGTAAATTAATCTGATCGCTAATCTATTTCCCAACTCTACATTTACTCCATCTGTTCATTAAACTCCTATCATACATTCAAATCTTTCTCATCAACTATCTATTTCATCAAATTACGTGAATCTTCATAAATTACATAGCTACTTCTATTACCTCAACTTTATCTTACTTTTGTATTTTATTAAATGCTTCATTTTTTTATAATACAAAATCGAAAAAACAATCTCGCAATTATTTTGATATTATTTTATATTCGTGAGCTTGAAACGAATAAAAAAAAAATAAAATAAATCCCTTGGCAAAAATAAAAATTTAATTATTTTGTTAGTGAGGAAAAATTAACTTTTAACGGCTTACAAAATAGCACAATCAATATTATAGTTCTGCTAAGTGTTATTATCTTGGATTTTATTATTTTATCAAGTGGTTAATTTTTTATTGTTACAACAAAGGAAACAGGCCCTTATTTATAAGCCATGATACATTAGTTAAATTAATTCCTGTGGTGAGAAAAAATTAACCTTTAATAATTGAAAGAAAAAGAGAGAGAGAGAGAAAAAAAAAGCAGAATCAATAAAATAGTAATTAAAATAGTTTAAATAAGTAAAAAGTTTTTCACGCAATAAAGAAATACCTTAATAGTTTAATGACTTTGTGAGTCATAACAGTATCTTTGTCTAATTCATTTGAAATAAGTTTTTAATTGAAAAAACTATATCAATATAGATACAATCTCACTTAAACTCCAAAGTAGAATTTAATTGTTGTAATAAAACAAAAGAAAAAAATAAATTTATTTGATTTATAAAAAAAAAGAAGAAAAAAAGAAAAGTAACTGTGATAAGTAATAACAATAATCAAAGTCCTGAGTAAATAAAATAAATTACCTTGTATTTAATTAAAATTTTTTTCTCAGTGTACACCCGAGTATTCGAAACAGCACAAACTCCCTCCCCGTTGCTAGGACACGTGGCGAAACGGAAGCAAATCGGTAGGTTCTCGTACGTGGACGTGAAGGTGGTACGGCATGCTGATGAAATCGATCAATTTAACTTGACTATATCTGTCTTGCAATCCCAACTCGAACCCAACAACAATTCTCAAAATCACTAAATCCAATTACCTAATATATATAATACCTAAAAATATATTCAATCATTCCATCAACTATTGAATCATCATAAAAAGGAAACTTCATTGATCACCATAAAATAAAAATAACACAAAACTGAAGATGTTGAGATTGATAAACCGACAAAATGATTTCCCTCCTTTGCCGAATAGTCTTCGTTATCTCGACGTGATCGCGAACGATTTAAGTGAATTACCGACTCGATCAGATCTCACAGGTGAGAATGACAGTTAGATGAATCAAACATAGACGATGGAAAGCTATTTTAGGTGATTTAATGCGCCAGAAGTCCAATCATCCTCAATCGAATGTGTTGGACACGAGTCGTAATTAGTTCATCAACATGGACGAGATCTAATCCGACCTTTCTTTGTCCTGATCGTTTGCCTGATGTATTCGATCATATACTGCATTGCATGTGTACTACTAGTGGTACTAATGTGAGAGCAAGTGAAACAGAAAAGGGAGTAAACTCGACACATCGTCGGCAACCTGATGCCGCTAGAGATATCCCAATAAAGCTCGCACGCCACCAAACAATTAAATTATTAACCAACAGCGATAACGAGGCATGGTAGCGCTGATTACTATTATAATAACGTCCCCTTACTATCACGTTATTTTTCTCCTTTGTTACAATATTTTTTTTACACTCGTTCTCTCTCTCTCTCTCTCTTTCTCTTCACTGCTTTCACTCACTTGGAACATCAATAAAAATAAACTTGTTTAGTTTGGAATTTTATAGGTATCAAGGGACAAAGAGTAAGAAAATTTCCATTTTATGCACCGTAAAATTTGATTTTAATATTTGATTGGAACAGCTTCGATTTTTATAAACACACGCTTTTTTCAGATAATAAATTCATACTCGCTGTAATTATAGATCATGCAGTTAATTAAAGATTTAATCTAATGAAGAATTTAATAATTAAAAAAAAAAAAAATGAAAAATTGTTTACTAAGATTTGTTATCGAGATTGATGTATTATTATAATTCATTGTTTTATATTATATTTATTTGAGAAATGATTAATTTTATTTCATTATTTATTTGTATCTTTTTTTTATTTTAACCTTGAAATAATAAATGTTAATTTTCTTGATGAATAAGTGAGGAAAAGTAGAAGATGTGCATTGAAAACTTGAAAAATTACGATTTAACTCTTGGAAATAATGTTTGAAATTCGATAAGAACAGCTGCTTAAGAGCGTTTTTACAAGCATATCTAAGATAACAACAACATTATCACCATAATTATGCGCGATACTTTACTAGAGTTAATCTAAAAAATTCTCTGGAGATAAAAAAAAAGAAATTATAAAATTTGTTAAACATTTTTATTGAGACCATTATTGGATGTTGCTTTTAGAGGGGTTCTGACTAAAAGAGATAGGAGTGCAGAGAAGAAGAAGAAGAAGAAGAAGAAGGAGGAGAAGGAGGAGGTGGTGGAGGACAAATAATGCAAAATAACAAAAGTGAACGAAGACGAAAAAGAAGTATACTATAAATTCCATAATCCTCTTTGGTGTTTGATGGCGGTTCGGCGACATGCACTGCACTTCCTCTACTTTGATACATCCCGATACGTGCAGATTTATCTGCAGCAAAAATGATTAAATAACTTACTCAAAGACGAAGAGAAGAGTATAGATAGTATGTGAATATATACATATATAGATGAAGAAAATTACGGATAAACTGATAGATGGATGAATATACTTAGAAGGAAGTTAGGTAGAGTGAACCAACATGTCGATAGGTGTTTTCCTCCTGCGGAAACTCTGCAATTATATGCACTAAAGCACTGGTAGATAGTTACCGTTAGTTGATCGCTAATGAACCGTCAATTAATAAGCCGCGAGTCGAGTTTAATACGGTTAACTCGCAGACATCAATTTACTCGAAAGTGAGAAGTGCGTTGAGAAACTTGTTTTCAGACCATTAACATTATTTTTTTTATGCTTTACGACAATTTAATTAGACCAATAAAAATAAGTTGAATTATCTTATTAACATCTGGATTAAAAATATTGAGGAAATCATTTTTAGTTCTTTTTTTTTTATCACTCAAAAGAAATCTTAATTTCCTTAATTCACTTCTTATTATTATTAATTATAATTATTTTCAGTTACTTCCAAGTAGATATCAATAATTGGTTCATTTTAATATCGAAATGGAAAATAAATGAAGAATCAAGCACTTTGAGTTTAAATATTCTTCATTCAAAGATATATGATAAAAGTGTCATTTTTATAAATATAATTAAGAAAATAATTTATTCAAAAATGAGAAACTTGTTTTGAAACATCGACATAGTATTATTATGTTCTCTTAGTGTTTACGATACTTTAATTAAAGCAATAAAAATTATTTGAATAATTTTTAATTGACGTTTCCGTTAACATTTAAAAAATCTTCTTTTATTTAATAATAATGATAATAATGAAAATAACAAAAAAAAAGGTACGTTAAAGTCGTCTTATCTTTGAAACACAAAATTTCAAGGGTTACGCGTGTCTTTCATTGGCTCAAAGTATAACTCGATTAAGTCGAAAGAAAATTGACGATGAACGTGAAGGCGTTTCGAATTTATATATTGAAGATCAGTGTGTTGGGCCATCAGACTCGCTCCGACAAGAGTATTCAGAGGAGATTGTGGTCCTAAGTGTTCGTCCATTACGTTATCTCCACGTGTCAATCTCTTAAGTAGCTAGAGGACTAAACTAGGACCCCCTCACACATACACACTACCGTTGATAAAATCTCTCGTTTCTCTTTTTTTCACGCTCACCAAATATATGTATATACGAATATAATATATAACCTTGGAAAAAAAAAATCATGCTATAGCGGGAAATATTTCTCTGATTTTATCTAATTTATTCTACCAATTGATACTTGTTGATAAGAGTTAGGAATTCAATTAAACATTAAGCATGATAACATCTACACCTCGTGAATTTAATCAAAATTGTTCCATCTGATTGACAATTGACTAATTAGTAATTATTGGTCATTAGACTCTATCGTAATTACCAAGATTAAAATATATACTTTATTACAAAATTTTTTACCTATCTTTAATTAGACTCTGGATACCATCATCACATAAATAAATTCAACTATGGGCTTTCATATGTTTATAAGCTATTTCATTTTATATTTCATAAATCTTGAGTTTCAGTAAATAATTATCTGGCTTTGATTTTTGTTTTTTTTTAATTCACAAAAAATGTAATTAAAGTTTTTTTTTCGATCCTTGAACTCATGGCTGTTGATTATAAATGTCTCATTCTCGTCATGAAAATGATCAAACATTGACATTAATTTTAAATCTTTTTCCATTTAATTAAATCATTATTTATGTTATTAGCAATTAGAGCCATTAGGAGATGGTTGAGAAGTGATAATACTCGTATACACATCATTAAGAATAAATTAAATGGTATAACAAGTTTAAACAAATAGATAATTTTGTAATTTTGGGATTCCCTGCAATTATACAGTTTTGTAATTTGGTATCAATGGTTTAGGAATTTTTTTTTCATTTTAATACCAAATAAACAGTGGAAAAAAATTCAAACTAGACCTCCGTACAAAAAATTTATTTGAATGCACTTAAAAAGTCTTTAAATATGACGTCATCCAATTGATTAATATTGCAATCAGTTCTTTAACATTTTAAAATGAATTCAAAATTTTGGAGTACATTTTACATACTCTAAGATGCATTGAAATAAAACACTATCATTTGCTGTGTGTGTTTGAATTAAAAATAAACAAAAAAATGTTTTGGTAGTAAAAAATTAATTTTTATTATTTAATAACGGTTTTCTGAAGATATTTTTTAGAAATATCGTCATGAAGAACAAATTTCTTTACATGAAAGATTGTTTTTTCTTTATTAAAATAATTTTAAAATTAAATAACGAATTGAGAAAAAAAATTTAATTAAACAATAAAAAAATTATTTTAATGCAACGATAAAAAATGAAATATCCAATCAAAATATCAATTAGGATGCATGTGGAGTATGTTTAGTGGTAAAAATAATTGCGTAGGGATAAACAAATTTTTTTAGAATGCACAAAATTTATATAGTTGGCTACTATTTCGTGATAATCATTAAATATTGATAGTTGGTGATGAAAGGCAAAATTATTAGCTTGTTAAACTAACGTGGCATTGGAAAGTGAAGCATAGCATGATGATGTAGTCTCGGTGGCTGTTTATAACCCCGCAATTCGATGCGATACACGATGAGAGAAGGTTAATTGTGCAGTTAACGAGACCCCGGTAATTTGTCCTCACTATATCAGTCCTGCTCTTCTCTATGGCTTCAATCACTTTAACTCGAAGATAATGGAGAATTTGGGAAAGGCTAATAATCATTTATTCGACATAATAATACCCTAGTTTAATAATCTACTGTAAAAAATCCCATTACCAAAAATACGTAATTTAATAATAGTTTATTTTGGTTTTATTTGTAATTTTAGTGTAACGAAAATAAAATTAACTTTGTAAAAGCATAATATCTAAAAAGAATAAAATAATTTTCTTTATAGGCGAAAATAGCTGTAATTCAACGGGCGGTGGAAGCGATGAGGATATTAGTACTGCATGCAGTGATGATACTAATGCATGTGGTAAGAAGAAGCACCGACGTAATCGAACAACCTTCACAACTTATCAGTTACACGAACTCGAACGAGCTTTTGAAAAGTCACATTATCCAGATGTTTATTCACGAGAGGAGCTTGCAATGAAAGTGAATTTACCAGAAGTTCGAGTTCAGGTGAGTTTGATTGGCTGATTAAAAGTATAACAATAATTATAGCTGATTATAAAGATAATTAAACATGCCGAGTTTATTAAAGAAAATTTAATTAATTATATCCGGTGACAGCGATAAAACCACGCAGTCGCGTGCGTCAACATATCGATCAGAAAGTGCCTATTTCCATCCTCCTCACAACACTCGTCTACACCACAACTATATACTTATGTACATATAATATGTAGTTACTCTCTGAGCACTCAATTACACCTACATTACTTGTGTACGTGGATTTAATAATCTATCTATAACTGGACATTTCACGTTTGCCTAAATTAATCCAACATATAAAATACCACAAATAATTGACCGAATCGAGTAGCCACAAGAGTCGGTAGCTGACAGAGAGAATTTTCTCTCTCTTTCTCTCTCTAGAGTGAAATGGAGGCTACGTCTGCTGCTCCAAGAGAAAGAATAGTAATTAAAAATTTTAATTGCGTTTAGAAGCTGCCATCGTGTTCATTCTTTCTCTTTACTATTCTCCTATTTTACTCTTTTTCTCTTTATGCTGCTACTCGACTCTCATCGTCGTCGTGTGCCCATGATTCAAGGCAGGACGAGACTTTTTCCAATTTTCACTAAGTGGAGACGGACTTTTTCGCTCGTTTATTTTGTCCTCTCAGCGAGTGGGTACTTCTGATCCCTTAAGCTTATTACTCAAGACTATATATATTTTTTTTTACCAAAGTTTATATACGTAGTAGACTACGACGAAAAAAAATAGAAAAGGAGAGAAGCAAAGACACGTGGATTTCATCATTTTTAATTGACAACAAGCTTCACTCGTGTCAGATTTATCCCCGTGTATAGACTAACGTCCAAGTGAATTAGGAATTCCCCAAGGAAACAATTATTCATGAACAAATTGAAGGGAATTGCACGTGACATAAACCAATGGAGATCACATAACAATAATAACGATGATGATCCATTCCACTAATATAAATGATTAGATACATCTCGAGCTAAAATGACTATTTAATCTTCTATTCCACTCAGTGATTGGATGTCCTATCAACTCTGGCCAGAGCCATTAAATCGTCGCGATCACGACGCTAATTTATTCTGAATCAGCCGCGGTTGTGACAAACCCCTCTCTCTCAAATGGAATTCAAAGTGCGCACGTCTGTATATCGGAATCTCGTTCGCAGGCGCCGCCCTCTCTTGTACTCAATTTTCGTTGCCTCGTGCTTTTAATGTGAATATATTTTGTCCGATTTCAATATATACCTATCAACTCACAATCCAATATTTTATCAGTTACTCGTGATTTTTATTTTCAAAATTATTTGACTAAATTGGACAACTAAATTTCTTCATTACTTTCTCTTTTCATTTAATTATTCTTTTATTTTATAACAAATAAAATATTTCTTCTAATTATTTCTTAGAAATAATAATTTTTAATTCTTATAAAATTAAACGATCATTTTTTTTTACAAAAAATAATTTAATTTTAAAAGATAAATAAACTTTTATCATTCTTGTTTTAAGTGAATTAAAATTATTTTATCTAAAGAGCAATTAAAAATCTCGAAAAAAAATTACTCACTTTTTAATAAAGACATTTAATGTTCGAATTTATTAAAGAATATTAAAATTAAAAAAAAATTATTTTGATTGTAATTATTTATTAACAGTTGAAACATTTAATTAAAATTTAATTTTAATTTAAAAAAAAAAAAAAAAAGTATCATTTCGTGAGCAAAAGTAAAAATAATATTAGTAGCAATCAATTGGAATTTTAAAAACACATTCGAAGGTCCTTTTTATGTTTTATCTCTGATATAAATAATGTAGATAACGTGTCTCATGACATTATAGAAAATTACACTTATAAATAGTGATCATGTTCTTATAACACGAGTAGTGGCAGTAACGATGATTCCTGCAGTATGCAATAAAAGCCAAGTGGCATTTTCTTGTTCTGATGCGCGAGATGGTATAGAAAGAAGCCTCGAGACTACCTCGACGCCGATCCATTATATTACAAACCTATTGTCGAGACCTACGTATTACCCTTCCTGTCACGCGATCATTTTAAACCTTTCCTTTTCGCTCTCTTTCATGCTCTCCTTTTTCGTTCATCGTATTACACAGCCAAGTAAAAGATACGATAGCAGATAGATATACCTTCGTAACTAATTTGACGATTTCGTTGCTGACTTTGTAATCGATACAGCATTTACCTTATTCTTCAACATGAAATCGTTCTTATCAGTTTTATAGATCGTGAAGTACATTGAAAAAATTTTACAAATCAATTCACTTTTATAGTTTCATTTTTTCAAGTACTTTATTGAATAAAATACTCCATTATAGAATATTTTTGATTTTATTTATTATTTAAATGATTAAATAAAAGCTTCTGGAAATTTTTATTACTTGTGATATTTATAACAATGTGCATGGCAACTTGCAAAACAACTATAAATATTTATTTTATCAATTTATTCGATGTATAAATCGAAAAGGTATTTTCATTCATGTAATAAATATCCAGAGTCACTTTTAAAGTGATGAATATGCATTAAACATTTTTTAAAGTGAATAATAAATAAAACTTATTGTAATGTTTTCTTATTTCTACAGATGAATAAACTAGTTTGATAAAAAAATCAAGATTAATATTGTTAAATAGGAAAATATTTTTCAAAAGTCAGATTATTTAGTTCGAGCTGTTAAAAATCAAAGAGAAAAGAGAATAAAGTTTAACTAAATTATGAAATTATCTACGATAAAGTTTTAATTAATTTTTCTTTCAATAACAACATGGTTATTTATCTATTTATTTATTGGATCATAAAAATATTTTATTTTTTACTCAACAAAGTCGGTTAACTCAAATCGGAAATTAAAAGGTATTTTCTCCATCGTGAACAAACTATTTTCAGCACGGACCTATTTTGGTCAACATGAAATTGGCAATGACAGATCTGACGGTTGGAAACGCGTGGAAAAGAGATATACGGAGGATGATGAGGGAAGAGAAAAAAAAGGAGATTGATTTTTCGCGGTACCCCAACTAATTTGAAGTCCAATCGTTTGGCTTTACTATCTCCTCTACGTTTTTTTTTTTCCTCATATTCCAACTCTTCTTCATTCTCGTTTCGTGATTCAAAATAGTACAATTGACAATTGGAATACATCCAATTGCCAACAACACCCCTTCTTCTTTTTATTTCGTTTTTAAATCTCGTGATTTATCATACTTTGTATATTTCCTTCAAACTCAGCATTTTAATAAATCCCCCAACCTCGTGATACAAGCTAATATAAATTTTTAATAACAAATAATAATGTTATCTAACATTATACTTTACCATGAAATAAATTGACTCAATACTTCATAACCAACATATCTAAGTTCCAAAACATTTTTATTCCAACTTTTACTCATCTTAACTCGCGACATTTTGTCATAAGAAATCACGCAAAGGTATCAGATGGACTTGTATCAGATAAATAAAATAAAAAATAAAAGTCATAAAGAAATATTTAAAGTGATATTATTTAGACGGTTGGCACGGTAACGTCATGTACTGTGTTACAAATAGTATAACGGAAATGACCGAGTTGTTAGCCTTTTTCCCATCAATTCATTGAACAAGATCGTTATAAACAAATCAGTATTAAAGGATATCCTCACCTACTGCACGCCCCAACGTAATTCACTCGAGTGTTTAATTCGATCTTATTGAAGGCTGTGCAGGTAAATCGGAACAGTTTGAATGTTGCGCGCGTGGTACCTCATTCGCGTGTAACTGCTGCAACGCGTGTCACAGGTGAGTGACCACGCGAGACGGTGTATACACATGTTTTCTTATTGTTTATGTATTTGTGCATACATGAAGTGCTAAATTGATCACGCATAGCTGAAAGTACTTTTTGAAATGGGTGTAACCATGACTACTCATGTGCAGTTGTTGTAATAAAGTACTCTATTATACTGTAATATGATAATAATTGTTATAATGCGATAATGTTCACCTCATTTGAGCAAATTATTTTTATATTTAAATTGAAATAAGTGGAAAAAAAGCATCTATTTAATTGATAAGAAACTCTATAAGTACACTTTGAGATAGGAATAAAAAATTACTTCTTAGGAAACAAAGTCTTTCAACGGTGGCTTTAAATTTCAACTAATTTCATAAATTGTTTGATAAATATTACGTGATGGTAAAATTTTACAGTCATTTGTTAAATTGATTATTCTCTTTGAATTGAATAAATATAGTATTTAAATTCATTTGAGGTAATTGTTTCAATGGAACTGGAGTTGGTAGATAAAGATTTTTAATCATGACAACTTTTTTGGATTTTTTTCCTAGAATCTTATATGAGTAATAAATATCACCAACAGTTAAATAAATAATTAAAGTTAACAATAATTAAATTTTATCTTCAACATGAATTACTTTATTATACATTATTGTGTGGTTATTAAATATAATTCTTAGTAAATTGTTTTCAAAAATAATTATGAAAGATTTTTAAATAATTATTACAATGTCATGATAATTAAAATATTTCTTTTAATTATGTAAGTTTTGTTTAGTTTACTTTAGTCTCTAATACTCCTAATCGCTCTGTTAGTTGAATAACTTCTGGATCATTTCACGACAATTTGGGACTCAAATCTTCTTAGGATGATTTGTATTATAAATTGTGCAAGTCACTGCTTGACAAATATTTTTTTAAGTGTTGATACATTTCAGTGACACTTAAGAATTTAATAACCTCCTTCATTTGAGATTAGATTTTCAATTTTTTCACAAACATCATCCAATAATTATTTAAACAATCATTTTAAATAAATATTAATTAAAATAATTAATATTTAATATGAAAATTGCCTAAAAATGTTGACTGAATAATTTTTTATGTATTAAAAAAATTAGAAATTTATTTATCGATAGAAAATTGAATTAATCTTTTTGAAATTAATTTTAATA